AGTCAGCCATTAGACATAAAATGGCTTAGAATGAGCCTCGGGGCAACAGCTATAGGTTTCCATAAATTCCATTCATTTTGCTTTAGTTGACTTCTCTGAAAATATATTTTTAAATATATTCTAATAAGTCACTGAAAAAGATAGTAATTATTGTTTACTACAGTTATAATTATCTAAATTATACAAACTTATCAAACACTAGGTCTTACTTCTCTCAGGCTCTATATTTGAATCCATTAATAAACCTCTTTTCGTTCCTCCCTCCCCTATCTTCCCCTCTCTCTAATAACCACCAATCTACTCTCTATTTTCATGAGATTCACTTTTTTAGCTCTCAAAGAACATGTAACATTTATCCCTCTTTACCTGGCTTATTTCATTTAAAATAATGACTTCCTGTTCCATCCATGTTGCTGCAAATGACAGGATTTCATTCTTTTTAATGGTTGAATAATATTCCATTGTGTGTGTGTGTGTGTGTGTGTGTACACATGCATATATATGTATACACACACATTTTCTTTATTCATTCATCCACTGGTGGACACTTAAGTTGATTCCATATATCTTGGCTATTGTGAATAGTACTGTGATAAACATGAGAATGCAGATAATCTCTTCAAATATAGTAAACTCCTTTCTACTTTTTTTTATTTTTTGGGATGGAGTCTTTCTCTGTCGCCCAGGCTACAAGATAGGCTGAAAGAAATGATTACTCCATTTATTTATTTGAACATATGATGCTGTAGAAACAACACATATTGAAATAAATTTTACAAACAGCCAGGCACAGTGACTTATGCCTCTAATCCTAGCATTCTGAGAGGCCAAGGCAGGAGGATCACTTGAGCCCAGGAATTGGAGATAGGCCTGGTCAACAGGTAAGACCCTTTCTCTACAATAAATAAAAAAATTAATAAATAGCCTGGCATGGTGGCATGAGCCTGTTGTTCCAACTATAAGAGAGGTGGAGGCGGAGGAATTGCCTGAGCCCATGAAGTTCATGGTGCAAAGAACACTGTTTGCACCACTGCATTCAGCTTGGCTAACAGAGTGAGATCCTGCCTAAAGAAATTACAAACCCCACATAGCCAAGTCAATTCTAAGCAAAAAGAACAAAGCGGGGGGCATCACACTACCAGACTTCAAACTATACTACAAGGCTACAGTAATCAAAACAGCATGGTACTGGTACCAAAACAGAGATATAGACCAATGGAACAGAACAGAGGTCTCGGAGGCAACACAACCTTTCTACAACCATCTGATCTTTGACAAACCAGACAAAAACAAGCAATGGGGAAAGGATTCCCTGTTCAATAAATGGTGTTGGGAAAGCTGGCTAGCCATGTGCAGAAAGCAGAAGCTGGACCCCTTTCTGACACCTTACACTAAAATTAACTCCAGATGGATTAAAGACTTAAACATAAGACCTAACACCATAAAAACCCTAGAAGAAAATCTAGGCAAAACCATTCAGGATGTAGGTGTAGGCAAGGACTTCATGACCAAAACGCCAAAAGCATTGACAACAAAAGCCAAAATAGACAAATGGGACCTAATCAAACTCCACAGCTTCTGCACAGCAAAAGAAACAATCATTAGAGTGAATCGGCAACCAACAGATTGGGAAAAAATTTTTGCACTTTACCCATCTGACAAAGGGCTGATATCCAAAATTTACAAAGAACTAAAACAGATTTACAAGAAAAAAACTAACAAGCCCATTAAAAAGTGGGCAAAGGATATGAACAGACACTTCTCAAAAGAAGACATACGTGAGGCCAACAAACATGAAAAAATGCTCATCATCACTGGTCATCAGAGAAATGCAAATCAAAACTACACTGAGATACCATCTCACGCCGGTTAGAATGGCGATCTTTAAAAAATCTGGGGACAACAGATGCTGGAGAGGATGTGGAGAAATAGGAACACTTTTGCACTGTTGGTGGGAGTGTAAATTAGTTCAACCATTGTGGAAGACAGTGTGGCAATTCCTCAAGGACCTAGAAATAGAAATTCCATTTGACCCAGCAATCCCATTACTGGGTATATATCCAAAGGATTACAAATCGTTCTACCGTAAGGACACGTGTACACGAATGTTCATTGCAGCACTGTTTACAATAGCAAAGACCTGGAACCAACCCAAATGCCCATCGACCATAGACTGGATAGGGAAAATGTGGCACATATACACCATGGAATATTATGCAGCCATAAAGAACGATGAGTTTGGGTCCTTTGTAGGGACATGGATGAACCTGGAAACCATCATTCTCAGCAAACTGACAGAAGAGCAGAAGATCAAACACCGCATGTTCTCACTCATAGGCGGGTGTTGAACAATGAGAACACATGGACACAGGGAGGGGAGCACTACACACTGGGGTCAGTTGGGGGGAAATAGGGGAGGGACGGTGGGGGGTGGGAAGCTGGGGAGAGATAGCAAGGGGAGAAATGCCAGATGTAGGTGATGGGGAGGAAGGCAGCAAATCACACTGCCACGTGTGTTCCTATGCAACAATTTTGCATGTTCTTCACATGTACCCCAAAACCTAAAATGCAATAAAATAAATAAGTGGGAAAAAAAAAACAAAAACAAGAGAAAAATGAGTTTATATGTAAGTTAACATGATTATTTTATATATTTTATATACAGATGAGAGATACTCAGATAATGAGTAGTTCTCAAAGAGGTGACTCATCTCTGGTGAATTTCAGATTATATGGTATCTTCCAAGGAGAACAGTAAATTCTTGGAGAAGTAGTAAGATGGAAAAGACAAAAGGACTTTAAGTTGTTATAGATAGCAGCTTGGTGAAGGTGAATCAATGGTAGATAAAGGCTAGTTATCTTGTTACAATTTGTTAATGTAGATTCCTCTTGTACATTCTCCCAGCTAATAGGGCCCAAAGATGTCTTCACTGGTTAACATTTCTGAGTCAGTTTGGGATGGGCAAGGTAACATTTTTCTTTACAACTCTTTGCCCTGCTTTTAGGCAAATAGATGGAGGGCAGCACGCTTTCCTGCATCTGCTCCTTCTTAATTGTATTCAGCTCTCATCTGCCACGCAGGAAATTTTAGATAGATTAGAACCAATTTGGATTTTATAGTGAAAATCATGCTCCAGTTTAATTTAATGTATTTCTAAGAATGAATTTTGCTAGAGTATTATCTTCTGCAAGTTAAACATATATTCTTAGTTTTCCAGTTCTTACATTAGAAAGATCCGTCTAGATGGGGATTTATTAAGTGTTGCTACTCAGTGTGATTCAGAGACCAGCAGAATTTGCATCACTCTGGAATGTGTTAGAAAAGTTGAATCTCAGGTCTATCTCAAGTTACTGAATCAGAATCCGCTTTTTAAACATGATCACTAGTTGATTCCTATGTCCAGTAAAGCTGCAAAAGTACTAAATTTGCCTTACATTAACTGATCCACCCAATTCTGATCTGCAGATAATGTTTGGTCCTGAAAAGGGGTTGTTTTACCTCAATGGGTCCTTTACTGCCTCTTGCCATTGAGCCAATAGAAAGCGACAAGGTTCTGTTAAGCAGAGCAGAAACTTTATTTGCTGTTCAAGGAGTAGAGAAGGAGTGTGTCCCATTCACCTTCTTCCCAGAGATATGGAGAAGGGAGATTTTTAAGGTCTCTGAGAGCAGGTAGGTAGAGACTAAGGGTGGGAATTCCTGGAAAGAGCTGGAGCTTTGCAGAGAAAACTGGAATGTGTGCTGCCTTGTTCTTTCTTTTGCACTGGGCACTCACTATATGTGCCTAGCAAAGGGCATCTCTCCCCACTGAGCAGAGATTTTAATATGGTAAGGAAGTGAGGATTCAGGTCTGTCTGAATAGCACTGCCAGGCTGAGTTCTTATCTCCTGGCTTGCTTGTGGTTACTGGCTGTTGTTTCTGTAAACAAGTATTACTGACACCACAGGTTGATTTCATAGGTTCTGGGGCTCTTTAACAGAATCAAGGTCATGCTACCTTGACAGTAACTTATTGACACCCTAAAATGCATTGTGATTCAAATTTTAAGGATTTGTTAGAATGATACCAAGGGGTTTTATTTAATGCTAAAGAAAATGAAATCAATATTACTGGAAACCCACTTATGTGTCTGATGTGTTATCCATTTCCAAATCTATTAGTTAATAGATTTCATTCTTTCATTTCACACTTAAAATACTCTCTAAGGTAAGTGCCACTGCCTCCATGTAGGTAGATGTGAAAAGTAACGTGAAGCTAAGATTTCTTCAATAAGTATTGCGCATCCTATGTCTGCAAGTCCCTGAGAATAAAGTGCACATGGCTTCTACTGTTATGTAATATGCAATATTTTGTAATTAGACAAAGGCCAGGCAAGTACGGGGTAGTGTAAGAGCTTGTAAGAGGGAAACCTAAATTGTCAGAAGGGGTTTGGAAAACACTTCTATTTGGAAAGAATATTTAAAGTCATTTCTGAAGAACACATTTTTATAAAGTTGACTCTGTTAAAGGCTAGCGTGTCTTGGAGTTTTGTAAGCGGAACTAAGCAGCAGTTGAGGCTGGAACATTTCAGGAATCCTGCAGAACTTTATAGAACAAGGTGCGGACGTTGGACCTTATCCAGAAGTCTAAGGAAGCCACTGGAGGGTTTGAAGCCAGGAAGTGACAGGCCCTGATCCACGTTTGGAAAGGCTCCTTCACTCAGACCCAAGCAAAGCCCTGCAGGCGGGTGGGTTTATTTGGGCCACTCCCCTAGGCTGCATTTCTCCACCCCAATCACCGCCTCCTGCTTCTCTCAGCTTAGCCATCCGAGGTGGGTGGGAAACGAGTAAGAGGGGCGGGGGGAAGAAAAACGTTCTCAAAAAAAATATTAAAAAGAAAACATCCCACTTGGCAGCGAGTGCGCGGGAAGTTCAGTGCGCGAGTTCCGGGCTTCCCGCCCGCCGGCCCGCAGACGACTGCAGCCTGGGTGAGCCCCCAGGCCCCGCCTGGCCCGGGCGCGTCAGGCCGTCCGTCCGTCGGTCTGTCCGCCTCCCCTTCCCCCACGCCTCCTTCCTCCGGGCGCCGCGCGGGTCGGGAGGTCGGAGGGGCCCCCTAGGTCTTCAGGACGCCCGCGGCCCGCGTCCCTGCGGCAGCGCCTCGGCGGCGGCGCCTGCAGAACCTGGTACCGGGCAGGTTCGGGTCGCGGCCGGGCAGTATCTCGCCGCGCTTACTCCGCGGCTGGGGCCTCTGACGCCTCCACTTGTGGAGTTCTTCCCTGAGCGGCTGTAACTTTAAACCACTCTGCGCGAGGCCTATTTTTATTCGGAAATCAGCGACCAGGGCGTCTGTGGAGAATGCTCAGATGGAGGGCCAGCCCGCCACTTGAAGTTTTCTCACAAATCGGAGGGGAAATAACCTCTTGTCCTAATAATCTCTCTTTTCGATTTCACTTCTATTGCCACCTCCCAGGGAGAGCCAGATTGTTTGCTGTGGGGTCTTTTTGATGAGGGTGTTGCCTGAGCTGGAGGAGCTGTATCTGAACTCCACTGCTTGGCCTTTGTGTGGTGATCCCGAGGCCCCCACACTTGAGCCGGGCCAAAGCTGTGGCCTAGTGTCCCCTCACAGGGATTGCTCCAAGAGCTCCAGGGAACAGGCTCACAGTGGCAAGGACGAGGAGATGAATATAGAAGCCAAGTACCGCATGGCCTCCCTGTATGTGGGTGACTTACATGCAGATGTCACGGAGGACCTGCTGTTCAGGAAGTTCAGCACTGTGGGGCCGGTGCTGTCCATCCGCATCTGCAGGGACCAGGTTACCCGCCGCTCTCTGGGCTATGCCTACGTGAACTTTCTGCATCTGGCTGATGCCCAGAAGGCGCTGGACACAATGAACTTTGACATCATAAAAGGCAAATCTATCCGTCTTATGTGGTCTCAGCGTGATGCCTACTTGAGGAGATCTGGAATTGGGAACGTGTTCATCAAGAATCTGGACAAATCCATTGATAACAAAACCCTTTATGAACATTTTTCAGCTTTTGGAAAGATCCTTTCCTCCAAGGTGATGAGTGATGATCAAGGCTCCAAGGGCTATGCGTTTGTGCACTTTCAGAACCAGAGTGCTGCAGACAGGGCCATTGAGGAGATGAATGGAAAACTGCTCCAGGGCTGCAGGGTGTTCGTTGGCAGATTCAAAAGCCGTAAAGATCGTGAAGCTGAACTCAGAAGCAAAGCCAGTGAATTCACCAATGTTTACATCAAAAACTTTGGAGGTGACATGGATGATGAGAGATTGAAGGATGTTTTCAGCAAATATGGCAAAACTCTGAGTGTTAAAGTGATGACAGATTCCAGTGGGAAATCCAAAGGCTTTGGCTTTGTGAGTTTTGATAGCCATGAGGCTGCCAAGAAGGCTGTCGAAGAAATGAATGGAAGGGACATAAATGGGCAGCTCATTTTTGTAGCCCGGGCGCAGAAGAAAGTAGAGCGACAGGCTGAGTTAAAGCAAATGTTTGAGCAGCTGAAAAACGAACGAATTCGTGGGTGCCAGGTGGTAAAGCTCTATGTTAAGAATCTCGATGACACCATTGATGATGAAAAACTACGAAACGAATTCTCTTCATTTGGATCAATTAGCAGAGTTAAGGTAATGCAGGAAGAGGGACAGAGCAAAGGGTTCGGCTTGATCTGCTTCTCCTCTCCTGAGGATGCTCTTAAAGCAATGACTGAGATGAATGGCCGCATCTTGGGCTCCAAACCTCTTAGCATTGCCTTGGCCCAGAGACACTAGAAAAAAAAAGTACCTTCCCAGCTCGTATTTGCAGCAGGTGGGGGAATGATAGTGATCTCTGCCTGAACTGACCTCAGTAAATTTAATATTCCACATGATGGGTGCTTAGTTTAGTAAACTTTGTGATAAAAGGTTTTTTTTTTTTTTTTTTTTTTTTTTTTTTTTTTTAAATATACAAAGCCATTTATCTTCGTTTGTGGAAAAATAAATGAAGCTTAGTTCATTTTACAAAGGCACATTTTCTAATTTCAATATTGTATATTTTTCTTATTTTGATGTAGTGTTCATAGCAATAAGTATAAATAGATATGTTTTTATTACATTTGAACCAAACGAAGAGGTAATTATATGAATGCCTGTATTACTTTAGTAATATTGCTAGCTTTAATTTCTTCTATGAAAATATGCTCAAAATAGTTCTTACACCTTAAGATTCCAAAGTATTTTTACCAGCAGAAATTTTCTAATTTTTCATTCAAGTTTTGAGACATCAAACTTTTAGAAATTTATAGCACAAATTTAATTAAAGATCTAATTTCATTTTGAATTAATGGTTAAAGTACTCAGCTATAGTTGAATTTCTTTTAAATTTATATCCTGACATGTTTGTTTTACTGATGGTTTAAATTAAGATGATGGAGGTTTTAATGCTGCCTAAAAACCAGCTTTATGTGTTTTGTTATTCTTTCCACTAGCTGACTATAATTCAGCTACTAACTAATTAATCTAAATAGTAACTTGCACTGTAAAACCTTAACTTCTACATTCCTTAAGTTATAAATCTGTATCATCTCAGGTGATTCAAAGTTGTTGTATTAAATCTCTTCATACCTATATAGCATAATATTACACCTTAAATTTTTACCAGATACTAATATTATGAAAATCATATATGTAGATTATAGAAATTATGTTTATAAACGTTTAAAATCTCTTTTATATTATTTCGGTAGTGATATTCTCTTAGGTTTCAGAAAAGTAAGTTCCTCTATTTTTATGAACTCACATCTTTTATTAGACTGTGGCAGCTATGTAACCCATAAGGTTCACTTTTAGCCTTGATTGTTCAGAAACTCACTAATTTTCTGATAAAGTGAAGTTACATCACTTATTCTGTTTTCTAGCATAATTTTTAGTTTAGAACCATTCCCCTATTTTCCTTTCTCTCCTGCCTTTCATCTATATCACTCAGCTTTTTAAAATACTTTTTAAAGAATTTTTTTATATTGTTTTTTAAAATATGCTGCTTCAAGTCCATTTGGAAATCGAGGCAAGAGTTATGTATTTACATTTAAATAATTGCTTTACAAATTCTGATTCATACCAAAGGTATCTAGCAAATGATTTTGTTGTTACTATTTTCATGTTTTTGCTTGGCTTAGTCATTTCTTTTTTCTATGATTCAAATATTCTATTTCATATATTACTATTATTAAATAAATAGTAAAATGTTTTTGGCAATACTTCAGCTTATGAATGAGAAAAGCTTGTTACATTTTATTTTTATAGAAATTATATGTATATTCTTTGCACATTTTGTAAAATAAAATTCTTTTAGTCAGTAAAAAATATAGACAATAAAAAAATTAAAAGAAGTAGCATATATAATTGTATTATGCCAACCAATTCTCTATTACAATTTGTTGCATATTTTTCCAATTTTTTCATTTCTCCACATATATACACCTACATAATTTAAGAAAAATAGAATAATCTTATAAATATTGTTTGAAATTGCTGTCTTAGTTAGACAATATGCTATGGTCAACCTTAATACTCACAATAATTATTTCCTTATAATCTGAGTGACTTTTATGTTTTGTTCAATGACTTTACCAAAATATAACTAATTTCTTTTTGATGAACTTATATGTTACTAGATTATTTATTCCTTTATTCTTTCTCCCTCTATCATAAATAACTTGGAGATTAACATTCTTGCAAACTCATATATGCAAATATATCTATTTCCTTAAGAAAATGTTTAGAAATTGAATTAATGGTTAAAATAGAATCAATTTTAAAAAATAATTTTGATAAATATTGCTTAAATGCTGCCCAGAAAACCTCTGGCACGTACGTTGTCATTGTAGGAGAATGCCTATTTCCCTATGCTCCAGGAAACAAGAGGTTTTGTTTAAGCTGTTGGTCAATTCAACATGATATATGTAAAGCAAACTATTTCATCATTGCTTTATTTCACTTTTTTTAAATTACAAAAGTTAAACTGCATTTCTGTACTTACTGATTGTATTTTCATTCTTATGAGTTAATGTCTCATGATCATAATTATTTTCCTGTTGGAGTATTTATTTACATGGATTTTTAGAGTTCTTTGAATATTATGACAACATTTTAGACCTTTCCCCCGATATTTTACTTTCTTTATAGTTTTGAAGGTTATTCCAAAATTAAATGTTAAGCTGGAAAGTTTCAGTATTTTACTTAAATGGCTTTGATGTCATGCTTCAAAATATTTTGAACACTTTAAATATGTATATTCACACAAATATATATACGCCCACACAATTCATCTGTATTGTACTTATGACTTTCAGAATTTCATATTCTCAATGCTTTTAACCAAAATTTTTGTTCATAAAAGTATCATATAAAACTTATAGTAAATCTTTTAAAATAGTATGCTTTTCCATCTTTAATAGCATATATTTTGATAAATACTTGATTCAGATAGCCAATGAATTAGAGTTGGTATATGAGTTTCACATAAATTCTTATACTAGATAAGTATTTACCAAAACATATATCAGAAGCAGAGAGTTCTTAAAACATTTACCGGACAAGAAGACTGGAAAATATATTAACATCTTATTCTGGATAACCTAGTCCTCATCTTATTTTGAAAAAGCTAATCTGTAAAACTGCTCAAATATTTGAACACTATTTGATAATGCTTACATATATTTTCAAGATAATATCAGGAAACTGAGTTCTCTTACATATATAAGGAGTTAGTAGTACATAACATCAGATGTGTAGATGAATATAGGTATGGCTTAATTACACAATAATTGCCTTCTTAGTAGACAGTCCTCATTTCCAGCATTTACTGTAAGAAATGACTAAGTTTACAAAAATATACAATCTGTGGATTTCTTTATTTAAATTTTGTCCATTCTCATTTTTTTGGTGCTTTATAATAGCAAATTATCTTAGTTGAAAATAGAGATTCATTCTTTAAAGACTATGAAATCTTTTGTGCCCAAGTGCCTTAATAAATGAGTAGAATCTTAACTTTTCTGATAAGCATTCCAGTAAAAGCTAATGTAGGTAGATATGCCTGGAGCCACTGTTTCTGCTTTCGCCTTTCTCTCAACACATTCTGCCACATCTGCTGTGTAGTTGCCTGCTTACATGTACAGCCATTTCAAGAAAAGTATTCTAACATTTTTTCTTTTAAATTTCAAATAGGAATTTGTAGTTTTTAGAAATAAAAATTCTAAAGTGATTTAATGTTGTTATTTTCATGTTCTCAATATTCTTACATATCCACTGAGAAAATGTCAAATAAAATCTTGATATTTCAAAGGTGAAGGCATGTCTGAAAATGATTTTTATTTATTATAATGTATTTCTGATTTTCCAAAGATCAGTTCTCTTAAGAATGAACTGAAAATAGCTTGTGTTTTTTAGTGAAGATACTTGTATTACAGATTTTCAAGGCTGATTTCTGTATGAACTATTATTTCCTTTTTAAGTTACTCATAATCATGGGCTCACAATTAAAATGAAAACACTAACATAGATCAAGTTTTAATGAGGAATAATCAATTATTTCAAAGACACTTCTGAATTTGTTGTTAAATTCAACTAACCTGCTAAGTGCTTAGAATTGGCTTACTCTTAGTACATTTGGAAATACGGCCCATAATTTAATTTAAAACATAGATATAATAAAACAACAGAAGAAAAATATAATTTTTAAAAGTCTACACTTCAAAAAATAGAGCAAATTAAATGCCCTCAGGATACTTTTGACATATATAGATAAGCATATGTGTGTGTGTTTATACATGTGTGTGTGTGCACGTGTGCGCATGTGTGTGTGTACACACACACACACACACACACATATATATCTCTCAAGTATATGTGTAATCAAGTCTGATTTACACATACATTTGCCTTTGAATTAAAGTCAGGTTATTTTGCAGGTTTGCCCAGAGGAAATATGTATAATTCTGTGTCGGTTTTGTCTCATGGTCATGTTGTATTTTAGAGTTCACAGAATGCTCTTAACTAACTTGTAATTGCCCTGAATAAAACAATTGAATCCAAATGAGAAGGAAATTTATCTTCTTAGTGGCATTATTAGCTGTAGTAGAGAAAACACCTTAACTTCTGAGAGATATTCATAATTTGTAAAATGGAATTCCATCAGATTTTGTTAACCCATTTATGTCTACATCTCCTTAGATATTTTAAAAATCTTTATTTTGAAGTTCTGCCAAACACTAATAGCACATTTAAGTTGCAAGGGCAATGTCACTGAAGTGACAGATATTATTATTTTTTGCATTCAGTGAGTATTAGTCATATTGTTTATAAAATCGGTACTGTATCTCCAGTGGAATTTTCTTATTATAGAGAGCCGTATCTGATGGTCTGTAGGGCATCACAATTTTGATTTAAATTTTATTGTTTCTTTGTACATGTGCTAGTAGCATACTTAGGTGCCACTAGTTTTGATATGTTGCCGATACTAGTTCCTTGAGGTTAAAGTAAGCCTTTATAATAGTAATGCCAGCAAATCTTTGTTAATCAGAGAAATACCTCAATTTGAATGCAAGCCAAATCTTAGAATTATAACTAGATTATTTTGATACATTATTTTACTGAATTGCCATTGGAACCATTAGAAACCTAGCATTATTCACCATGCTGGTCACTAATATTTTACATATAGTTCATATACAAATGACATTTATATTGTATAGATTGCAACTGGTAAAAGATCATGAGTTCTGAAGTTATATGGTAATCCAACTTTTAATACTTGTTTTGATTTTACCCCAAAAGATATTGGTAAATGTACATTTGATCATATCATTCTTATACTTAAAAGCCTTCCCTGGCCTTTTATTACTCTTAAAATCAGGTATAAATCTTTACTGTGGTCTAGGAG